TTCTTTCTTTCTCTGCCTGAGCACTTGGAATATAGGGAACAAGGTACTGCGCTGGCTGGTACTTTCATGTGACTGACCTAGTGTGGTCCTTTTACATTTCATCTGCCACACCACAAAACCATTTGTGAAAAAGTTTTACACAACTTAAAAACAAGTATCAGCCCTCTGGAGTTTAGCAACCCTACAGAACATAATGAAACACTATAACCTGCTATAAAATTCCCTGAGACAATAAAAATATAGTAACAACTGGAAAGATATTCTAATTGTAGACTGGTATCTCTGCACATCCTGATCTAATTCCCACAAAAACCTTGGTTTCATCTCCTGCATATTCTGCAAAATTTTTTACATCAGATTTTTTATTTTTAAAGGCTCGAGATCCAAAATTCCTTCAGGCTACCTACAGAGGCCTAAAAATAATAATAAACTTGAAAATCAGACAAAAGGGGATTTAACATGCCAAGGACACAGTCTGGGGCTGGCGCAGAAGGAGGTGCAGTCTCCAAGTCTGTCGGGCAGGAAGCTTGTTCGCTCTCCCCCTGCTCAGCTTCACAACAAACACTGGAGTGAAGACACTGTGAAAAACCTTTGCTTTCCCCGTGGAGCTGAGGGAGGGACCTTCTTGCTGCTCCTTCTTAAAAGTTACGTACAAATCCCAGACTGCATCGCTGGAATGGAGCTTTCCGGAGGAAATCACAAACTGGGCTGTAAAGCTCAGAAGGGAATGAGACACCCTTCTCCTATGGGAGCAGTTGGCCATGCAGAAATGCTTTGGCCTCCTTGGATTTTAATGCACACAGGAATCAGACCATGCTATGGATACTGCTTGTAAAACCCCACCACTCCCCTAGAAAACACTTGAGGCTGCATCCCCCCATGGGATGGTCTAGAGAAAAGAGCAGTCAGAAACTACCAAGTGAGGGAACACGGAATACAGAGGTGGCAAGTCGGGCTTGGAAGTGGGGCACAAAACCCTATTTCTAGGTTTCCATTCCCTAATTCCCCTCCTAATACTTCAATCGGGGCTCGTAACAGCAGGGGAGCATGTGGTTACATTTGTCTCTGAACCAGAGGCAGGAGGAGGAGGAGGGAGTCTCCCGCAGGCAGATTTTAGCTGCAAGCAGGACACAACAGGGCCATTTCACAAAACCTGGATCGCACCAAGCAAGTTGTAGGATCCTGGGGATCTCGCAACCCACAGTCAGAACAAGCTGTATCCAACCGTCTCAAGCAAAAATGGGTGAAAATGTCAGCCAATTAAGCTTTTCCCACCTACACCACATCAGCTTCAAAAGCCAAACAGGATCCCAGCAGAGCTCTCCGGGAAGTCTCGCTTCAGCAGTTCTGAACCCTTAATGTTAGTGTGTTACGAAAAACAGAACTGCTGCGTGGGTGCTCCAAAGCCACCCCGTGAATATTAATCGCTTGTGCATATTGAATATAATTGTCTCTCCAGTATTAAAAAGCTCTCCTTCTCAATTAGTGGAAAGTGACTCCCACAGTTCAATTTAAGGTTTAAATTTGGAAGGGAGAGATTTTATTTTCTTTCCCCCCACCCCTTTAATGTAAACCACGTAAAGCACCCACAGATGCAGCATCGTAACAAAGCACGTACGGCTGTGAACGCGGCCCCTCCTTTCTGTGATGCAATCAAGGATGCGTTCTTCCAGTAGCAGTGGTCAGCCCATCACAAAAATTACAGCTACTGACAACTTCTAATAAATCTGGCCCATACAGAAACTACGATGATGATACACACGCGTGTAGCTGAACATGTATGTAACAGTGGCTGGATTCAGGAATCAAACACAAGGGCACAAGCCCATTGCTGTGGTCTCAGGCTTACCCTGTGCTCGGTGTCTTCTGCTTTCAGGGACCTCCTTAGGAACTAGACCAGTCAAAAGATATCTACAAGTGACCATCCGGGCCTTCCAGCACTTCTAGCACCAGGGCACCAGGGCAGGTGAGACAAAAAACCACAAAAATATCCCAACTATGACTTTTCAAAAACTGAAAAAAAAAAAACCACTGGCAACGACAAACCCAAATTCTTGTGAGGACGGGCAACAGTGATCTGGGCAGAAACCTCACTCCTGGCTATGAGGCTCCATTAGGTGACAGAACAAGGGAGCTACCATTAAGTAATACAGGGCCAGTGACAGGTTGCTGGCCTGGAGGTCAAGAGGGAAAATCGTGTCCAACACCATGTTACACTTGGCCTGGGTCACCTTTGTGTGATGATCCTATGGCCCTAAGACATAATGATTATTTTGTGGGATCGGGATGGGGGGAAGCAGTTCAAAAGGCTGGAAAAAAAAATATGGAAGTTTTGCCTCAGTCCACAAAATTGTTTTTGAGGCATGAAATGTTTTACAGCCTGAGGAGATATATGGCAGGCTCTGAGGTGGTCATCAGGAGTGTGAAGCCCATTGAGAAAGTGTCAAAAGACTGAAAAGGGCAGAGGGAAACCAAATTGATGAGGGATGAGGGACCACCTGGCACAAGCAAACACAGTGCCAAGGAGCATGTCAACAGCAAAACAGTGAGGCCATTGGCTCTGTGTCTCAACCCCCCCCGCCCCCGTCTCAGGTAGGGTAACCATCACACTCTACTTCACACCACGGATATTGAGTGAAGATGTGCAAAGTGCTGAGATACTGTCGGACCAGGGACCTGGTACAGGGACACAGGTTGGTAGCTTCCCACCTCTCACCCCATCCAAAGACACCATACCACGTTCACCAAGGAACGAGTCCTTTTACTTTGTGTGCAAATTTGGACTTCCTTTTCACTCTATCTATCAAACACATAATGATACTCATTTCCCTAAGCTTGCTAAAGGTAGGCTTGGGCTAACATTACTTCACTGCTGACAAGTATCTTACTTACTGTATGCTGCTAGGATTAAAGCCCTGCAAGGAATTTTGACCTTTCCAACGCTCTAATTTCGTTGAATTTGTACGTGGTAATCACCACTGCCAAGACTCCTTACAGCCACTCAGCTCAGGAGATACACCTAGTGAAACCAGCCCCACAAAGTGATTTCCCTGGGTATAGCCGAGGCCTCGCAAAATGCTACGCAAATTCGTGACTTCCATTAAGCGCCTCGGAGGAATCTTCCTAACGCCAAGATAGGCACCAAGAAGAAAAACAAATGCTCTGCTGTTCACCAGCGACACTGCTCTCTTTTTCTTAAACACACTTGAAAGAGGGCTGGAGGCAGGAGTTGCACCTAACAATCTTCATGAAAGCTGTTACGTTCAAGGCTGCCAAATAACATCTTTTTTTTTTGGTGGTGGTTGTTGTTGTTCTCTTGCTTTTTATCCTGCGCTGCCTTGACGGGGCACCAAAGGGTTTTTGCGCTCGCGCCATAAAAATACCTCCAAAAATAAAGAGCTGATTTTGAAGTACAAAGCTGCTGTTGTGGGACGCTGCAGCATCTGTTTCAGCCTGTCATTTTTCATATTTAGACGCAGCGTATCTCCACAGATCAAGCCCAGCCAGTAAGTCACTCAGCAATCCCTTCCCATCAGCTCTCACAAGTCAGTGCCAGCCGACGGGGTGGGGGACGCACACACACACACTCCTCCCGCCCTCCGCACCGCCGCAGCCCCGCACCTCCTCTGCAGCACACTGCAACCTGCCTGACGCAGGCTGGTGTCTCTCTGACGTTGGTGTCCTGCCAACAGCTCAGCCCGGCAGCAGGATGCGAGCCTGCTGGCCTCCGGCCTTGGCGCAACGTGCCGCTTTCTCCTTTTTCTGGGTCACGCGGCGCGGTGGGTGTACGCATGTAGGGA